CTTAGAAGCAAGACCTTCTATCATTCTGGTCAGCCTTCTTTGGTGCAGTTTGTCAATATCCCTCTTGAATTGTGGTGCTAGAACTGGGCACACTACTCCAGGTGAGGTCTGTCCAAAGCAGAATAGAATGGGACTATTCAGTTTAGACACTACAGTCCTAAAGTATGCACAGGAATTGTTGATTAGTTCCAATCACTGGCTCAGATAATAATAATAATAATAATAATAATAATAATAATAATAATAATAATAATAATAATAAATTATTATTATTATTATTATTATTATTATTATTATTACTATTTCACTACCCGGCTCTCCTTGTGGGTAATAAATGCAATTTGTTTCAGAAAGATCACGTAGACAGAACATACTGTAAAGAACAAAAATAACTTTCTGGCTTTGCACCAGGGTTTGGAAAGTTACTTTATTGGTCTACAATTCCCAATATTCCTCAGCCAACGTGGGCCCACGTTGCTTTGAGAAATTGGGGGAGTTTTAGGTGTAAAAAGATATATAAGATTTTTCACTTCTTTGAGGGCATTTCAAGCTTGTGTACAGTTTCTGCACTACTGTCTTTTATTTCTTTCATACACCTAAAAACAAAACAAAGATCAACGGCATTCACTTTGTGGTTTAAACTATCCATAGTTTGTTGTGACATCCCATGTCTGACTTGCAATTATCTAGCAAATATATGTCTCTAGCTGTAAACAAACAAATATAATTTAACCTTGTGGTTCAGGAAAATATGTATTCTATCATGCAATAGTGTTAATTCCTTTTTTCAAGGGATAAGAAATTGACTAACTCTATATAACATATACATTCTTTAGTCAGATGTTATTCACCCACTAGATTTCATTCTTTCAGGAGGGAAATATCGCTCCATTTTGACAACATGGTTTGACTCCCAAACTCAAGGAAAAAGAAGGGCATTGTTCCTAATCCTGGGGATGTTGCTATTCATTCGAGGAAGCTTTGTGATCTATTTAATTGCTAAAACCTGGCATGCCAAACAGCATGTTGAGACTGATTTTCCCAGCTGCAACATTAACTTTCTAGATGATAACTTCTTTCTATTTGTCTTACACATTGATAATTTTGGGGAGGAATAGAAGCAATTTCATGCTTCAGGTGTAATATAGATTGTAGCTTCTTATCCCATACTGTCAGTAGAGCTACCAAACCCATTGAAGCTAATATACATTCAGAGTCTACTAGTACAACTATAATGAATTATAACGTAATTATAATACATTTCTGATGGAAGGCCCAAACTTTTGTAACATAACTTTTATTGTTTTACAGGCATTGATCTTAGGAAAGGAAGAAATGCAATTTAAATAATTTCAGAATAAATAGAAGTTTGCCCACAAATAGTAAAATGCTCAGTGTACATTATGAGTCATCATATCCCAAAAGAAGAAAATGCATAATAATATCTGGAAAATAAATCCCATTGGTTTAACAAATAGTTATTGACTTGAGACTCTTTCCCTGGGATCTCTGTAAGCAAGACAAGAAAAAACGTTGTGGTCAGTGTGTGCTATTTTCCTTGCATCACAAAAACAAAAGTGTTGATTTGTAAGATTTGATTATATTTACACTCCAACCATGCTGAGGACATAATCTCAAAACTGTGAAACTCTCCCGAAGGGGAGCATATGTCAAATTCTGAAAATACACAGTTATTTCAAAATCCCTCTTAATTCAACAACCAGTACTGTTCCAACTATAGTCACTCTGGTTTTGATCTAATCCTTATTTGTTTATGGAACAGTTCATAATTAACTAGAAAAGCTGTGGTTGTTGCTATGTGCCTTCAAGTTGTTTCCAGTTTATGGAGACCCTGAGATGAAGCTATCACAGGGAGACCCATTTAATGAGGAATGTTTGCTGGTTGCTGGGGTGCTAAAGGGTTGGGGGAAATTTTGAGTATATTTCTCTCCAAATTGTAACTGTGTTAAAAACCCTTGAACAGACCCAAGGAACAGCAAAAAATAACGTCACAGAGCACCTGCAATATACAAGCCTATATAAGGTCTTTTATCTTTGGCAGTAGTGCTTCTTAGACAGATTGGTCTCAATAAGCCACATTCAAACATATCTATCTAAAGGGAAATTTTCTTGAAAACACAAAAATCAACGTATACACAATCACTTTGAAGAACAGCCAATATTGTGCCTTGTTGTTATAGCATGCCTTCAAGTGTATGCGACTTAAAGTGAACCTAAGGTGAAATCATGGGGTTTTCTTGGCAAAATTTGTTCAGAGGAAGGTTGCTTTTGCCTTCTTCTGAAGCTGAGAAAATATAATTTACTCAAGGTTACCCAGGGAGTTCCTATACCTGAGCAGGGATTCAAACCTTGGTCTCTTGGAATTGTAACCAACCCCCGAGCCATCATACCATATTTCTTCGCGATTAATCCATACATTAAAGTAACTCTCAAAAATATTACAAGATCTTCATGGGGTTGCGGTGAGTTGACAGGTGACTTGAAAACACACATACTCTTTGTCAAGCTTGCACATCTCAAAATCATGCATTGCCTGAAGGTTTTGCTATATTTTTCTAATGGGCAGTAAACTCAAGAGTCAAATGACTCAAGAGTGAAATGGCTGGGATGAAATAAATGATGCCGACATTTGAATTAACAAAAAAAGTTGAATTAACCCTCCTGCCCCACAGTGATTTCCCCTTTTTTTGTTATCCCCCTGCCCACAAGGCAATGCTTGTCTTGAGAATGCACAAAATATATATAGACCTACTACAAAAGGGATGAAACTTCGATTCCTGAGTATACTAAAGCTATCAAATATTACAAGAATTAGGGAAGGCATTTTATGACTTTTATAATAAGTCACAAAATGAGAACCCTTTGCCTAGGAGTTTTTCATATCTCACATTTCCTTCCAATACTATTATAAGCTCAATGATTTGAATAACAAAGTGTTTATTTTCAAACCCTGATTTACCTTTATTCTGTCCTGTTCCAGATGTTATCAAAACTTAGACCCCAAAATTGTGAATTATGATCAGCGGCTTCTCCATTTGTCCTGTATTAACCTTTCACAAGTTTCCCCTGGAATGTTGCCTCACCATACCTTGGACCTTAGGATATAATCTCATAGTTCTCACAATGTCTCTGGAAGACTCAGGGAACATACAACGGGTTTGTGGAAAAGGTTCTGGGTCGTTTCCTGTTTTCACACATCATTTCCCCCTTCAGATCTGTTTTCCCCTGCTATCTCTTTCTGCACATTCTTCAGTGAGAGTCAGGTAACACCCAGCTCCTCCAGGGGCACTCTGGTCTCTCGTTCTCTCCTCTGCTGAAATAGAGCCCCATGGAGTCCCTCTTGAAGTTGCCCAGCATCATGTGATGTTGTTGCTTAAATATTTTAATGTGCTATATTTTAACCATGTTGATCAGGATCGTCCCCTTGTAAGCTGCTTCGAGTCCCTTCGGGGAGATGGAGGCAGGGTACAAAAATAAAGTTGTTGTTGTTAGCTCCATGGGATTCCGTTTCGGCAGCGGAGAGAAGCGAGGAGAAGACGCTTCTCTCTCTGCATCTGATGAGGCCCTAAATACTAAATATTGGAGGTGAATTTTGATGTTTCTGCAGTCCACACCTTAGGTGGTTTCTTCATGCATTTGCAGGAAACACTTAACATGCACTTTTATTTGACAAGGAAGGTAGCACATCCACAAGACAAAATAATGTATAATTTACAATTCATTCTCTGGAAATGAAGACATTTAGATGTTTTGATGAGTTTTATACTGTGGGAGTTTCCTAGTGTAAAAATCTGGCTCAGGGCAAGAATTTTCTATATGTTTAATTGTTATGAATCCTGGGGATTCAAATGAACTCTGTCACTACTGCCAGATTTCCAGCAAAGCACAGATGGTATTTTTTGAACAAGTGATTGGATGTGCCGTGAAGTCTTTATGCCTAGAAACACACTTTATTGACTTAACACAGAAAACCTAAACTAGAAAGCTGCTGGGTGGACCATTGGTTTTTTCGGGGGGGTGGGAGGTGGGGTTGAAATAAAAGGTGACTATCTTTCATCTGATTTCTCATGAAGAATTACATAATGGCCTGAGGTTTGTTTCTCTTTCAATTAACCTTTACGAATTAATTTCATAGAAAAAAATCAAATGCCATTTTGATCAGAAGCATTTATTTTTTGCAGAGCCACTAGAAAAGTATTTTAAAAAGATGAATTAATGCACATTTGGGGAAGATTAGTAGTGAAACAGATATGAGACAATGTGGTATACGAGTCAATGGGTTGGACTAGAAATGAAGAGAGAGGCTGAACTCTAAGTCCCTAATCAGAAATGAAATTTATTAACTGAGGTTGATTAATATTGTGTAGCCTAACCTACCAGACACAGTTCCTCTATTCTACAAATGTAATGCAATATCGTATGAAATAAAAGCAACTGCAGCGGTCAGGTCCCTAGACATGTAATCTCTATAGATTCAACACACAGAACTAGGATGCAGGGGTGGGATTGCTCTCCCCTGCTGTTCCCTTCTGAACTATTTTGGTATGTATCCTACGTGATTTTTAAGTGCAACTAACTTGAGAAATGTCTACATAGGAGCCAATGCACTTAACACTGCAAAGAAGCCATTCTGAATCTCTTAAGAGAAGGAGGTGGTAATTTCAGAATGAACCAAAGCATTTTTATTGCTTTCTTGTTTCAAGCAAGCTAAGGATCTATTTTGGGTAAAATTCAATACCTAGTAAACCCAATTTCAAAGTCTGCTGGCCCCTCTTTGCTATTGTCTCTTAATATAATAAGTATATGACATGGCTTTAAGTTCAAGTCCAAGAAAGCTTACTCAGCATATACATGTTTCAACATAATTTTCATGAAACAGACACATAAATCTTCGTATGACATAATTAATTTATGATTGTTTATGATTTTTTAAAAATTATTTTACTCCATAAAAAATTCCAAGCATATCTGGTTTTTTTTTCCCAAGTAGCAATGCTACATCACAATTGCTTCCACCACCCAGTTCTGGAGACAATTATTTCAATGAGAAGCTTCACGTGTAGCATGAAGCAAATATCAAAGGTCAGAATTATACAAGGTAAACGTCCTTGTGTTGAAACTTATTTCGATAGAAGAAGCATATAATAAATAATGTATTTACTCTCTTGGATGTGTTGTGATGTGAAGCATCTTTCGTCCCAAGTTTGTTTTAGAATTTTTCTTTTCTTTTTCGTTTTTTTTTTCCAGAATGTACATCCTGAAAAATCAAAAGAAGCACTTGGTGTTATTGAGAAATGAGACAGAGGAGGATATAACATCTACAGAATGATAAACTTCTCCACACGTACAGGGAAGCAATGCATTAATTTCAAGACTTGGAGTAATTGTAAACCAGATTGGTGTTGGCAGCAAAAACAAAAAAGTTAAACTTGCTGAGATTCTTCTTCTTCAGTTTGTGCAAAAGAGGCTTCTGTGAATATTATACAATATCATGCTCCAAACACATATTGACCAACCATACATTTTAGATTCTGAGAAATAAAACTGTACATCACAACTTGTATACCTGAAAAATACAGAGAACTGGTTGCTATGTTGTATGTTACAATCACTGCATTGCTGGACCAAGGATGATAAGAGTTTCCTAGGGATAGAAGTTTATTGAGTACTAGCTGTCTACTGTCACATATTGCTGTGGCCCAGTCTGTGTATATGTGTTTTGTGTGTGTGTGTGTGTATATATATATATATTTGTGTATATGTGTTTCCAAGTGTGTGTGTGGTTTTGAGCATGTATCATAATGTAATTTTTGGCTTTTTAAGTCTCTTCTGCTGTGTTTTTCAGTGATTTTATGAGTGATAGTCACTCGATGGCCTGATAGTTATATAGTGTCCAAATTTGATGTCAATTAGTCCACTCATTTTTCAGTTACATTAATCCCACACACAAACATTGCATTTTTATTTATTTTAGATTCTGAAGGTTAAGTTTATGGTTGGTTTGCATGCATCTTTAGTGTCACACATATTGCATGATGTGTGTGTCCATTTCCAAATTCACAGCAAAGTTGTATTCACTAACATTTATCAAAGGCCCAATTTTTGTTTTAAACTTTCAAACCCAAGAACTAGCAGCAGATGCTGTGGATTCTGAAGAGGAGGAGGAGGGTGGGGGAATTTTATGCCATTCTTTGGGTTACTGCACAAAGGTAACAAGGAAACAGCAGACACTGTCTGCCATCCCACTGGATGTGTATATAGACACCCTCAGCATCATGGCAATGTGAAATGTTACTATTACACATGCATTCAAGCATAATGGTATGGTGGCTATAAAGACATGCAGATGGCAATACGATCAATCCCACCATCTGACACCAATTATAAAGGCACGTCGTGTGGCCAAACAATATAACTGGACAGGGGGCAAACAGATCCCATCAACTGTCCCTCCTTTAATAAAGAATTCACACCACTTTGGAACCAATAGAACATTTGAGGAGATGTCTCTCTATTTAACTTTCGCTGCCACCATAAACTAAATGAACAGGAACACTCTAGCTATTAAAAATATTAAAATTACTTCTAGGACCACCAAACACTGTGTCTTTTAAAAYGGCTTCTTTYAAGGAAAACAAGTTGAGGTTGAATGGAGAAAACTATAGCCACAAAGGCACACTGGACTCAGGCTTTTGAGTTTTAAAATAAACAAGAAAAGTTTATTTAATATWGTACAGAATGAAGTGAATGCAGTTTAATAAGCTTGGCTGTTACAGATAAAATGTTCTTGTTCTTGAAAGCYTAACYGTTGCATGAGAATMGTRCTTTCTTTGTTACAAACTATKAAACCCAGCTATTTRTTCCCTAAATAGCTGTACCCAGTTTGCRACAGCTCACTTCGCTGGCAAACTTCAGGCAAACTGCCTATTCTAATCACGAACTCCTAAAAACTTCTCTAATCCTGCTCTAACTCTAACATCAACAGACTGACTCACTAAAAAAAACTTCTTTCTTTCCCTCCAAACAGTCTAACTCCGCCCCCCTTTAATAAACCAATCCTGGCTGCTCTAAGGCTGGCTCAGGCCTAGGCCACTCCCCCTCTCTGAAATGGAGCTTTCCCTAAACTAAAATGGCTCCTGCTGCCCTCTGCCAGGCCTTCTAAGGCTGAAATTAACTAGCCTGCCTCTCCTAGGCCCTGCCACCCAGGCTGGCAAGGTAAGGGATCTTCACAGTGGCCATATCATTATTAGTAAAATTTATTCAGAAGGAGTTTGACATTACCTTCCTCTGAGGAAGAGAGACTGTAGCTTGCTTCTATGGCTGAGCACAGATTCAAAAGGTATCCTGGAATCTTATCCAAGCCTCAAGCCACCACACTATACTTGGTCCCTCTTAATCAATATGACACATTGGTTTAAACCCTTGTGCTGGCAGGACTGCTGACTGAAAGGTTTGAATCCAGGAAGCTTCTCATGTGGGGACATGAGATAAGCCTCCCACAGGATGGTAAAACCATCCAGGCATCCCCTGGGCAACATCCTTGTAGATGGCCAATTCTCTCACTCCAGAAACAACTTGCAGTTTCTCAAGTCGCTCCTGACACACAAAAAATTAAATATGTTAAAGCAGTCTCCAAGATATTATAGATTTTATAAGACTAATCTCTTTATGTAGCATATAAATGAATGCCATGAACATTTTCTTCTTGTCCATCTTGAACAAAACAAGAAAAGAAGAACATTTGCTATAAGAATTTTTCAGATTGAAGCCTAATTAAATTGAAAAAAATCATTTTTTTTCAATGTAAAATTACTTTGCACATATTTGACTGTATCCATTCCTATTATAATTCCCAACCTTTACTCCCACAAACATAAGATTCAGGCCTGTTCTGGTGTTCCAACTGCCACTTGAGGGACTACATGCCATAGAATATCACGAAAAAACTTAACAATGAGAAAAGAACAAGCAAGAACCTCAAATAATGATAATCCACTTAAGGATATGGTGCCGAAGACCAATCTCTGTCTGAGCACTGCTTCATAAATATATTCATATAAAGTTAGGGCAAAGTTCACTGCTTCAGAAAGTAACAGGGGAGTAACTAGAAACTTACAACTTCTTGCTCATTTTATGGTTGTCAGGGGAAAAAAGAGAAGAAGAGGGAAAGAGGAATAGGATCCATGTTTTCCCCTGTGCATTTGCTAAGAGCTGTTTTCACACATGGATATCCATTTCCTGATGACTGCGGCCATTGCAAAACAATAGAACTTTCAGTTAGAATTTCTACATGACCTCACATCACCTTAGAGCCAAGAGCTCAGATCTAGTGCTGTATTGAATTTGATTTTTGTGTCATTTCTTGCAATTTGTGGTTAGTGGAAGCAAACAGAGGATGTTTCCAGATATTTGGGGATGAGGGAAAGAGATTTTGGGGATGTACAGGTCGAGCCGTTATCTTCCCATTTTCCATGTAGCACTACATTTCATTTACTACTCTTCTTCTCTGGATTTTTAAATTACACAGTAAATGTTTTGAGACCACTTTAACTATCATCATTATGTGTTATGGCATCCTGGGAAATATAGTTTGTGAATTCTTTGTGAGATAGATGTCATGTCTTGCCAAACTACAAATTCCAGGACTTTGTAGGATGCAGCTATTGTTGTTCAACTATAAGTGCTATAATTATTATACAGAAGATACCACCATCCAAGGATATTATATGGTTATGCTTAATATATCACTACCTTTCCAGGACACAAATACTTATAATCATATAATAATAGAGTTGGAAGAGACTACATGGGCTCCACTCTTCCATGCAGGAAAAACACAAGGACAGATGGTCATCCAGCCTATGTTTAAAAGCTTCCAAAGAAGAAGCTTCCACCACAGAATTTCACACTTGAACAGCTATTGCACTCAGGATTTTCTTCCAAAATACCACAGATGACAACTGGAAGTCTCCTGGCATATTATGATGTGATCTGTGGTATGTTGTCCATGAAATGTTTTTAAAGTGTTGAGAAATGGGGTGGGGTACACATGATGAAATCCTTAGGCACTATGCTTTTGATGCAACTCAAAATCCCATTGGTTTGTTCACCTGCTGTATCACATTGTTGGCTCCTGTTCAACTTGTTGTCCACTAAGACTCCAAGATCTTTTTCACATGTACTGTTGTCAAGCCAGGCATCACATCATCCTGTACATTTCAATTTTTTTTCCTTCCAAAGTGTAATATCCTACATTTCTACTTGTTGAAATTCATTTTGTTAGTTTTGGCCCAGGTCTCTAAAGTCATTTTGAATTCAGTTTCTGTCTTCCGGAGTATTTGGCGCCATCTGCAAAGCATGCCTTCCAAAACGTCATCCAAGTCATTAATAAAGATGGTGAACAGCACTGAACCCTGCGGCACTTCACAGTCATTCTTTTCAGGATGAACCATCCGTGACACCCTTTGGGTTTGGTCACTTAAGCAATTATAAATCCACCTAACAATAGTATTGTGGCTAGCCCACATTTTACTAGTTTGTTTTCAAGATGATCATGGGGGACATTGTCAAAGGCCATACTGAAATCAAGATATGCTACAAACACAGCATTCCCTGAATTTATCAAGCTTGTAACTCTATCAAAAAAAGAGATAAATCTGGCCTGACTTGTTTTTGAGAAATCCATGTTGACTTTTAGTTATCACAACATTCTTTTCTCGGTTATTACAGACTGCCTCCTTAATGATCAGCTCCAGAATATGTCATAGTATTGATGTCAGGCTGACTGGACAGTAATTGTTTAGGTCCCCCTTTTTCCCCTTTTTCTTGAATATAGGGACATCATTTGCCCTCCTCCAGTCTGCTGGGACTTCTCTCATTCTCCACGAATTCTCAAATATTATTGACAGTGGTTCCGAGAGCTCTCTGAGCATATTTTCTATCATGCTTGCTGCTGTTTTTCTTTGGCAGTCCTTAGGAATAAAGACTCTGTATGGAGACGGTCATTCTACTTAACCCTTCCCAAAGGCAACTTGTAGACTCCCTGTCCTTGGGAAAAAGAATTAGTCTGCTTAAACCCAATGACCCAATGAGGCAAGAGGAACCAACTACTGGTGTAGTTTCCATGGTGATCTGGTTCAGGAGCAGCAATAAAGTGAGAAGGCAGTCTGAAGTAATACTGTAGAGAAATGGATGGTCTTGTTGAGTATTAAGTGAGACTTATAAGACTCTTGAAAAATAGTTTGGAGTGTTTATTTT